TTGTTATAACGTTTTTTGAGTTTTGATGAGGCGTTGTCTTGTAGCCAAATATCGGCGCATTTCGTCTTATTTTGTAAGTGTTCTTAATGAAATATTCAGAAAGGGGGAATTTTATCACCTGAAAATGTATGTAATTGCTCCTATAGCGAAGGGTGGCGATCGGGAATAGCAAGCCATTTACACTATTTAATAGTGGCTTATAATATTATATTTAACGTTCTGGCTGGTTGTTTATATAAAGTGCTTAATTTATTGTTGTCCCCTGAACAATTTGGTTGTATTTCTAGTCGTAATGCTGCGATTGATATCCGGGTGTCTATGAGTCTAATGGGGTGGCTTGTTGTTAAAACTCTATTCTGAAAGCTTCTGACTGCATTGACTTTCCTTATATGTTTGGGTTATTAGTTAGAGTAGTTCTTGTTACATTTGTGAAATCGATACACGTAGGGATGGCTTTAGTTGTATGAAATATAATGTCTTTTTAACAGACATATTTCTTACTAACTGCGGCATCTGAGAGAGATGCCCTCTGTCGTCATTTCTGTTTATTTTGTGTCAAACTTTTACACAGTTTGATCCTGGCTTGGGTGAAGTTCTATGTTTCTGTTATTAATTATCGGTATTCAATGCAGTAACATGCTAATGACATTTCCCTTATGTTGACTCATGATGTGTGGTTTGGTGCATTGGTACGGATGGCCGAGGAAGATTCGCTAATACTGTAGTCAATAATGAGGCGCTTAAGATGTTTGGTATTATAATTTGTGCTAGTTTAACTATGTATCATATTAATTGGGAGGTGATAGTGTAGAAATTTCAGTGTGTGTGTTGGATTCTTGGTGACATCGTCAATTGTCATTTAAGATAACGGCATTTATCATTAGGCGTTGTGAGTTTAGATTTGTGGTATCCACTGCAGGTTGGCACTACTTAGTATAGCTTGATGTAAAATAGCCAGCTCCAGGATCACTCCCTTTATTGAAAACTACTGCACAGATGTATTATGGGTAAGTTACATGGTTTTCTAAGGACGTTGTTTCTCTTTCTTCTTTTTTTTTTTGCCACTGTCACATATAAGCATCGTAGTATAATCTCATAGTTAAAATGCAACAATCGAACCAAAATGAACTCTGAATATAGGACGATCCACCAAATCCCTATTCAAAAACAGCTCTATAAAAACATCTAAAAATTCTAAAGATAAACCGTGAAATAAATGAAGAAGATTCGACAAAACTTTAAAGTTTCTCAAAAAATACCAAACAGGCATTGAATGTGAAAACACCAAATCCATTGAACGCTTAAACAATCAACTTTCAACAGATTACAGATCATATCACGCATGTTTTATTAGTTACTTTTTACGTAAATATATCTTATTGTTTTCAGCTTTAAAGGATGCTCGGAAGAAAATTGTTTCTACTAACTTGCTGCTATCACCTTTTCTTTTACTTTTTCTTTTCAGTTTTGTTTCGGAAAAAGGCTAATGTTAGGTTTTTCTTTAAATAAATTATACTATTTTTCATGTGTGTGTATTAGGTGATGCATGTGTGTGTGCCAGCTCGCATTTGCTAGTAACATGTATTACAAATCACGGAGTGACGTTCTAATAGCCGATCTACTTTTAATGGTTTTGTTTGGGTTCAATACTGTGGGTTGAATTATCTTCTTTGGCTTTAGGGTGTAACCAGAAATATTACACCCCTATACGTCAATAAACAAACTAATGGGTTGAGCACATTTTGTAATGGTTGCTTAGAAACCATTGTACACCAGTTTCTTCATCATCCGTTTATTCAGAATGGGTGATCTTTTGTTTTTAATTTGTACTTTAATTCTGTTTCAAGACTTAACAGTCCGGTAAAGATAACAAGGGGCTTTGGTTGATAATTTGTCGAGTTTACACAACTCAAAATGTTGCTCAGTGCGAATTTTATCTTCTATGGCTAAATATGTGATTTTTAAAGCTGGGTGTACCAAATTAATTAGGGGTGCAGTCGTGCATTTTCGAAGTTACTTTAAAGCTAAATGAGTACATCGTATTTTGTTCGATTACAAGAGGTACTTGTTGTCTAATCCTTTATTTTTATTTCCAGTAAAAAAGAACAGCCAGTTGTTTGTGGTTGATATCCAGGGGTATCGTTTGTGTAGTTGTTGCAGTAGCTGCTCTAAAGGCGAATGTTTTCTTGTTTTTCTCTTCTTGTAGTGGGTTGGGGGTATTTATTTTCTTTTTGTATACTTTATGTATTACTATTATTCTAACTATTATATATGTTTTGTATTGAGATCTGTTGTGTTTCTGATTCACATTTTTCTTTGTGCTGCTGATTTTTTTCTTTATCATAGAGTCAGTAAACTCTATATGTAGGGATGGCCAAGGTATTCAGTAGGCATAATACAAATATGAATGCTAAAAATTCAACAATGAAAGAGAGTTTTACTTTAAAAAAAATGATTGCCACTCACTTTCTTTTGTTTCTCTACCAACAAGTACAAAAACAAGGCAAGAAACCATCGCTAAGATACTAATCCACCAAAGTGTTCATCTTTCTTCGGAATAACTATACAACTACTTTAGCACTAACGTCAGTTTAAATCTAAATCCACTCTGTGTGTTTCAGTGCAGTTCCCGAAATCATCACTTAGTTGTAATAACTAGTATAGTAATTTAAAAACTCATAATTCTAGTGTAAGCAATATTATCATCACCCCTTGAACAATAAATGACTGAAAAATGTAGAATGCCCAATGCTTTGTACACTGTGCAATTGGTGCCTTTATGGAGCCAATCCTATATTATGTATGATGTGAAGAAGTAAAAAAATATATACACGTGACATTAAATTTCATTACACACATTCGTAGAATATATTAACTTTCAGTCATAGGGAAAAAAGTCACAAAACAAGTAATAGAAAAACATTTTTGTAAATGCAAAATGATGTAGGGGTGACGTGCCAAACAATAATACAAAAAAGTATATATGAATGATACAACTATACACAGATCATCCCTAGAAGACTTTCGATATAGAAATTCAATGTTAAATTGTTGAAAACGAGAAGAAAATGTTTACGAGGTCGGTTAATTCGACCGATCTCGTAGCGAAAGTCTCTAATAACACAGTCTTGCGAATTTAAACTTCATAAAAGTTTTTCTGGTTTTAAAAACGAATTTTCGATAATTCAGCTACGGAAATTTCGAGAATAATATTCCCTTCTATTTATCCCGTATAGATTTTTTTACATATCAGAAAGAGAAAAAAAAAACTCTTAATTAGATCAAACTAGTATTTCGCTTACTACAATAAATTTTTTTATTATTATGTTTGTTGTCAAACGAATGTGCATCCTCATTCATCCTGTTTTTCTATCATTTTAAATCTTCGTTTTTTTGTCTCAAAACTACGTTTTGTGGTCTTTCTTTTATGCAATCCGTCTTGAGCATATCGTTTCAATGACCAGCAGTAATCAGCCATCATGCTGATGTTTCAACTTCTTTAATACTTCCTCTCCATATCCCTGATATCTTGATGAAAACATTTCCCTCTGTTCTTCGCTGACGGCACCTAGCTTTTCAAGGAAATCCCTATCCCTATCATCATTTCTATCGACATCAGATTCAGAATCAGATGAAACTGTATCAACAGTCTCCGGTGGAGAAAGTACAGGTACATTAGGTGCATGAGTAACAGGTCTTATAGCAGATTGAAGGTTCAGATAAGAAATGTCCTATACATTGCCTTGAACGTTACTTGAGCAAAAGTAGCAGTCATCTCCGTGGATTTTAGGCTCATACTAGACCATTGTAATTCCAAAAGGCAAAAACTTTTTCACATCTTTAGTCCATTGCCTCAACTCTTCAACACAAGTGGTGCAAACTTTGTGCGGAGCCCATGACTTGTCTTGGTCCCCAAGTTTTATTCCAAAATACGCGTAATACGGTTTTTGACGAATTCTGTAATGTTTACTTTTGTTTATTTACAACATATTTACCACAAATATAACAGAATATGATGGGGTCATTCCCACAATCTCTTGTTGTCATAACGACGAATAAAAAATATTGAAAAGAAAATGTCAAAGTTCATGCACAAACAAATTCTATCGAGAAATGACACGTCATGCGGCCTGTTAAACGTTTATATACTAGCGGTGTGTTTATCGTGGGTTCTAGAACGATCGATAAGACTCTCACGTCGCGATTGGTCCATAGAAATATATAGACAGTGGTTGTCAACATTTTAATGTAACCCTATTTCAATGAAAATTATTCACTTATGTAAAAATACATATGACGTTTTCTGAAAAATCTGTACGTGATGGAGAAAAATGGATATCATTTTAGGATTCAGCGTACAGGAATTACTGTAGGATATGTAAAAATGTCAAGAGAACAAAACCATCGTAGTTCTATGTAATCAAGATATCTTTTGACTCAACTTGGTTTTCTTTGTATCTAAGTCCCAGACTCTTAGTTACTCTACACTGATGCCTACTGTGATATGACCATGATATTATGATAAACAAACTCCATACCAACAGTTAGGAATATATATAACTTCCAACTGCAATTATATTAAAGTCAAATATCAATTTTAGAGTGTAACATTAAATTAAATTTTAATATTGAAAGACTTGTAAGGTTGATTATGTAGAACTGTAGAAAAACATTTTTATTACTTGTATATCGTTCATTTCCTTTTTTCTGTCTTTTATTGAAATTTTGTTTTGTTACTTGGTTTTGTTTTAAATATATTTATATATAACTCCTCTCCTCATCGAGGGTGAATAGATAAAGAATACAAGAACTAAAATATGAGATGTCGAACATTCATAATCATATGTTAAGTTCTAGTGACATTCCAGGAACAATCGCATAGTTTAAAGTTATTGGAACTGTTGAAAATATCTGTTTTACGAATTAAAGAATTTGGCCATTTAAAATCTTAAACACAGAAATAAGTACAATACTTTGAAAGTATAATAGATCAGAAAGGATTAGAATATGATCAATTACTTACATTTTATTATCTTCGAAAACAATGTCACAAGTTTAATGAGAGATAGTAAAATGAGATGGTCTAATTTTGATATCTGTTTTTTTAAGAGAAACATTATTCCCACCAAGTGTGTTCCAAATAATTCCACTCCCAGATTTTGAAGCTTTACCATCCTTGTAGTAGACACCATTTAAATTACTTCTGGTACAACTTTTAAACCACCACCCACCACCACCACCATGGTCAATAGAACAACTTTTTGCATTGGCGTCGTTGTCTAGATCTGTTGTGGAGAAAAGTGAACCGTTGTGGTACAATAGTGAATCACCTGTTGTGGTGAATACAAAAGATTGGTTAAAAGTTATTTATTATCATGTGTTGCTATTATTTAACACTTATAAGTATTCTGCAAACCATATTTAACAAATTGATAATAATTGGATTAAAAATCTTAGCAATAAAAGATAAATTAGTCTAATTTTACAATTAACAAATTATAAATACGACATTAGATTAATAAAGTATGAAATTATTGGAAAAACTACTAGAATTTTAAGTACATAAAATCCAACATTAATTATTAATGGACTTTAAAGGAAATGTTACTTTTCAAACATCGTAAAGCATCTTTTTATTGGGGGAAAAGGATTAATAGTACACATAAGGTAAAACTATAGAATCAAACAGATACTCTTATATTTAATTGGTCTTATAAACGTTTTTACGATCTAAAAATAAACAGTGAATTATTGCATATTAACACTTAAGACCATATCAATATTATTGTTTTTTTCTTACAATAAGGACTGAACATCCTTGTGTAACCTTCTTTTTAACACTGAATGTTTTGCTGATAATATCTCATAGGAAGCAATGTGTAGAAACAGGTGTTTTCGTAGTGACAATATTTATGACTGAGAAAAAGGACATTTTCTGGGCATAACGTCAGGAAGACAGGGGCTTGTGTCCACCCAGCCATCTCCTTGTGCACGTCACTAAAATCCAAATATCTTCTTTCTGGGACGAATGAAACATTTAAAAATGTACGTACAATGTATCATGTTTGTAGACCTATCTGACTTACAAATCTAGCTCCTGTAATCTTAGTCTCCAATAAAGAGCAAAAAATATATTAAAATAAAGGTCTATGTAGATAAACAAGTCATTTAATATATATATAACTCATAAATGTGTTCTTATACTTTCTGTGAAGTATTTAATAATCCGTTTATGATATTCGTATACCTTCGAGTTTTGATTGTTTGGTAACAATCACAACAATCATTCTACCAAAGAATTCATAAACATTATTCGTCATCGTGTAAGTCTAAATATAGAAATCTAAATTAAAAATGACAATTTTTCTTACCTGCATCACCACTATAAGAACCAAAAAACATCTGATAATTTCGTAAATCACTCAACACAACAAAATATGAAAATTTAGCATAGACTTTTGTCCCTGAGAAATCTTCTAAATCCACCCTAAGCTCCACCTCCTTGTGGTTTGTTATGGCAAATATTTTGTCGTTTCCTACAACATAAGGATATTGGAAGTCATATTAAAACACAAAGTATTAAACAAGCTATCATATTATTTCTACATTAATTATAAAACAACAAAATACAAGTCCAAGAGGATAAAGAGGCTAATTATAATAAACATCTGGGAATTAACTTAATCATGTCCGTTAGGTCTAAAACACTATTTGGAAAACATTACTTGAAACACATAATACCAATAATTACTAGTCTATTACTACACGAGTATATTTTCTAATTCAAATTTTAATACGTTTAATATTGGAATTGCTACAAATAATAGAACTTACAAGAAACAACTCATAGTGTATTCAAGAGCAAAGTAAACAAACATCAAACAGCACTTAATGCCATATAAAGCCCTATTGAATGTTATATACCTAAATTACAATATTGTGTTTCCAACTTTAACTTTTTCTTTCAATATTTTGCTGCTATAATTAACTTCAAAGGTCGAACGAGGTCTCCAAGCTAATGATTTTAAATACGATGTTCTTCTCGAATATTTATAATTAGTTGTATTTTATGGAATTTATCTTGGGAACAAACAGTATTAGATACATCGTTTCTGATTTGAACTTAATTGTAGTATTTGATATGTCTTTAGGAATAGAAGTAGACACTACGAAATATTTGCTTAAGTGTGTTTTCTGTTATACGTTTACCTTGCAATGATTTGTGAAAGATGAAACTTTAGATACAGATCTAAGAACTTAAAACAAAGGTTATTAGAGTGTTATGATCTCTGACATGATAGAAAACTAATGTATTTTAAATATATGATATTAAACATACTTACTAACACTTTTCATAAAGTTCAATATATTTGAAACAAAGTTTCTATTACAAATAGTTCGTAGGTCTCTTTATATGATTAGTAAACGTTGAAAAATAATTCAAAGTAGTTTTACCTATATTAAATTAGTATTGATCTGTAACAGTATTTTTGTATGTTTGTTGTTAAGCATTGGGCTATCTGTGCTCTTCCCACCGTTGCCATCGAAATCCAATTTTGAGATTAATAAACTATCAGATATAACACACGATATTTCGAGTCTTCAAAACAATAGACGAAAATGAAACGTTTAAACACTAATACAAAAGTACATTAATTAAGAACTGTATTATAGAACAAATCAAAAGATTGTTAAGTTTGTTTCTCATGTTCTAGTTTATGTTTAGTTTGATAATTATGAAGACTTCATGGTAGATTTGTAGATGATTTGGTGATGAACGTTCAACACATTTGGGAAGCAAAGAGGAGTCAGATCCTAACGTCGATTACTCCGTATCACTTGGCTGGAGACCCTAATGGTACGTGTTAAGATTGATGACAATCGGTCCACCGGTTCACTACTTAAAATATAACACACACCCACACACAAACTTCTATCACATAATTTAGTTAATTCAAATAATTCTTAACTTACTGTTTTTACAAGTATTTTGTAATTTTCTATATTATAATTTTATTCCGTATATTTGGTATAAGACTCCACTTAATTGTTGGAAAAATGTCTGTTAACACACATGCTAACCATATACTTACATATCCTATATAATCACATGAAGCATACTAACCAAGCCAAAAATCATCGTTCAGAGATCCAAATCCCACACTGTACTGATACCAGGATTGATTGAACTCCTGAGGTTTATCATCGTAGTACCCGCGGCGCTGGATTATCTTTAGTAAAGAAAATGTATTCAAATTCAGCTTTATGATTACTAAGGAAAATAATTTGAGTTAAATATATTAAAATAAATACAAAATAAGTAAAGATACCACAGTGATTTACCTTAACTAACTATTTTCACACTAATAGTTTCAGTCAAAGTGATACCTGTATAGAACATTTAAACTAATTAATATTTACTTCCAAGTTTTAATTAATCTAAATATCACATCAATGTTAAAGTTAGTTTAGTATTTTTGACTTGTATGTATGTTTCAATAAAAATAGTAATAGCCACTTTGACTTATAATAAGAAGTTAACAAACATAGAACACACTCCTACCGTCCATCCACCGCCTTCGGTGTCCATGTCACATACAACCTTAATTGGTTCGTTTAAATACCGTGGCCAAATAGAGTAGACCCGGTTGCTCTCAACATAACCTCTACGTCTCAAATCTGCACAGTCTGTGAAGTTTGTGGCATTGTCGCATCTCTTACTTTCGGGTAGCGGAAGAGTTCCTTTAAATTTCATTAATACCTATATTTAAAACTGTTTGCGTTTTAAAAAATATAATTTTATGAATGATGCTACTTTTTCAGACTAATTAGTACTAATTACATTCAATTAATTCTTCCTTAAAGTGAAAGATGTTTAATTGTTTATTTAATAAACCTAACACGCATTAGTTGAATTGTTATTCTATTTGTATTCTAATAAAACAAGTAACACATGTGTTTGATTTTGGAAGAAACTTTAGTTCTTACCATTTAAACACTGAAAACATCTGTGTTGTCCATGCGATAACAATCATTGTTTTGAGATTTTGTATAAAAAGTAAAATTATAAATACACTTTAATCCATTAAAACTGACCTTTCAACTTTTCTTTAACCAGGTTCACCATTCCCCACACTGTCGTAGGTAAAGCATTCAAAATGTCGTTCAAGTCATACCGTGAAACGTCAGACTTTTCCCCAATCACGGAGACTGACAGAAATATTCCAGTTAACCCTAAACAAATCATTTGAAAGAGAACATTTCCTTCTCTTGTGCTATTCATGGTTTTTATGCTCAGTACGAGTTCTACAGTGATCTAACTTGATGATACAAGGAAGTCCATGAATGTCTTTTAAATACCCATTTATATAGAAAGGATATTATTGTAATATAGCTAATTTTGAACAGAGTTCTGAGAAAATAAACTTTGAAACGACCTTAAATAAATTGAAACTAAAATACTAATAATTTATTTATTTTACCAGATACATTGATATATACACGCACAACATAAAAAACCAGATTAAATAGTATGCTACTCGTATCAGTACATTGAGTTATATATAACTTCTACTTAATCAAAAAAATGCTACACATCAGAATCTTGGTCATTTGGGTATTTCAAAAATTGTTCTTTTTTCAATTTTATGTTTAGCTTGTTATTTGTAATATTTAAAAGATTTATATAGAGAGGATATTTCTAAGAATAATTTTGATATGAGTGTAGTAGAACTAGCTAATGTCTCATTGTTACCCTTGAAAAATAATCAGTTACAGGAAAACGTAATAATACAACATTCTCACATCATCAATGTGTAGGTAAGATTCATTAATGACGAATTATTCTGTCCATAACACATTAATGAAATACAATATGTTAATACCCCAACTGTAGCTCTTTCTTTAAGTATTCCAAATTATTTGCTATAGTAGGTCCAACAATGTATAAATGTTGATTGGATTAAAATAATGAATATTTAAATAGATCATGTTGAAAACATGGTAGTCTTGGTTTTCACTTTCTAAAAACTGTAATGAAAAAAAAAGAAACATAATTATCATAGTTTTATATTTCTGACATTTTATATTTATACCTAATCTATGATATCTTACCTTTCAGCTTTCCTTTAGCTACGTTTACCATTCCCCACACTGTTGTAGGTAAAGCGTCCAAGATGTCCTCCAAGTCATAACGAGAAATTTCTGACTCTTGTCCTGTCACGAAGACTGAGAGACAACAGATACAAACCACATGTAAGAAGAACGTTTTAGCTATTGATCTTTTCATGACTCTTCTGATCAGTTGATTCTTAACGAAGTATAGTTTTTATAGTAGGCTAACTTCATAATTTATATAGAGAGGAAATTATTCAAGTTGGACCTACTTTAGACGGTATTCTGAGAATAATTTTGATATGAGAAATTCCGGAAAAGCACTTCCAACGAAACTAAACTCGTATCTTGGATTCAAAGCAGCTTTAAAGCATCTCTGTTAAGAGAACTTATTCAGCGCACCATGCTTCTCTTACAATAACAAAAAACATCCGCTGTCAAATCAAGAAGAAACAAGTGTGACTGCTGATAAGAGCATGTAAGTTTACAAAACAAATAACATAGTAACTAATCAATTATTTTATAGTAAAGTTTAGTTCCTTAACTGGAAATCGTAACAACAAGTAAACATATTAACATTGAGCTCGATTTCCTGCAATGTATTTACTGACAAGAGATCCGTCGTAAAGGATTTGTCGTTTCATGTTATAAAGATATATTTTTGACGTTTCTAGAAATACTACTTATAACATAACATTATCACGACTGAAGAATTGTTTAGTTTTTATTTATCTCAGGAATTATGAAGCATATTAGAGGAGTATATATATTAACAACACAATGTGGAAACGCGCAGAAGGTGACTGATTATATAAATGAGGCCTAAGTTGACTGAATCCAAGGACACTAAACACACAGCGTTATTCTTAAAAAGTTACCAATATACTAATATATATATACATATACATATAATTTTGTAATATATGTTTGATGAAATATAATGAATGTGCTATACGCGACAGTAAACGTCACTCTCTTGTATCGTGAGCTTCACTTATAAAATTTATATTTTGCTGCCAAATTATAAGTGTTCTTCTGGTACTTATCCATTTAAACTCCATATTTGGGGAGAGAGGAGGGACTGGTCTTGCTCATTGTTGAATTCCCCCAAGAAATGTCTTTTAAACTGATTGAGCTAGCTCTTGACAACAATGTTTAATGTTTTTTAATTCTCAAAATAAATTCCATTTAAAGAATCATCAACGGAAATCTATAAATAAGCTTTTTGAACAACAATATATATAGGTTAATATTCTCCGAAGGGGCTTTTCCTGTAATTTGTTTACTACGACAGCTGTAGAAAATAAAAAGTTATGTTTTAATTACGTTAACACTATTTATTTATATACCAAAGGTTTACTTAAGTTTTAATTTCGCTAGCACTATATTTATATATCAATGGTTAAGTAAAAATTGAAAGACAGCTTTTCGGTAAATTAAAATGTTTATTGCCCCCAGTGGTACAGCGGTATGTCTGTGGACTTATAACGCTAGAATCCGGGTTTCGATACCCGTGGTGGGCAGTGCACAGATAGCCCATTGTGTAGCTTTGGGCTTAATTACAAACAAAGAAATAAAATGTTTATGAAAAATAATGAACGGTTTCGAGGTTGTTGAATAGAAATCTACCCAATGAGCTATTTGTGTTCCATCCAACACGGGTATCAAAACCCAGTTTTTAGCGTTATTAGCTTGCAGTCTTACCGCTGAGCCACTGAGGGAGGGATTCAAGTAACAAATTATTTATTTCCTTACATCTAACCTGATTTAACATTACATAATGAAAGTTGTTTTCAACTGATATATGCTAAAGTTACTTTATTCCAACACGTGAACAAGACTTGTGGCAATGCCTCGATGTTTCCAGATTGTGCTGATTTGAGGGTTAAAGGGTACGAAGATAGTAAACAGGTCTACTGTATCTGGCCAAAGTTCCTACATGAACCAATTCAGGTTGTATGTGACATGGACACTGAGGGCGGTGGATGGACGGTAAGAGTTTAGTTCTAAACTATTCCGTACTTAACTTAGTACTTAGTGAGTTCTGTAATGTATCAGAAGGTTTAAGGTTCGAGTCATGGTAGGTCACTGTTTTCCTTTAAATATTTTAGTTTTAAGAAATATATAATCACAAGAGTATTTTATTTATAATATTATGAATCAGATGTTTCATATATAATTTATGACGTAAGGTGTATAAGAAATACCGATTTGGTCTTGAAGTAGATGCACCAATAATAAGAATAGGAAACATTATTATCTTTACAGACCAGGCTAGACATATAGAAATGAGTTAGATGGTCAAGCTAGTGGAACTCTACCTATGACGATAAAGACTCCCTTTGGTGTTGTTAATAAATTTAATAAAATATTATATATGTTCTATACATGAGTGCACAGTTATATAATGCATAGAAGTAGAAAACTATCGAACTATTGGTGGTTTGTAGAAAATCGTTTCCAATGTGGATTTCTTTTAACGTTTAATAAAATCTAATAACAAACCTAGGATATAAGATTGGAGACTAAACAGCTACACACGGTGACAGTAGTCTGGAATTCTAATTATTACTTTTTTCAACAATGAAACGAGTCTACGTTAAGTAAAATATGTTGTTGTGTAACATGCTGTAGATGGGGTTGGTTGAAATCCTGAGGCTCGTTATCGTAGTAACCACGCCGTTGAATAATCTTCAAAATGAAAGGCTTTCTATTTACATATAGGAAGAATAAGCCTTTCAAATACTTAAAAATAACCTTTGTTAGATTATTTTTAAAACACAAAAATGTTTATTTACCTCATAGACTTCTGTCTTTGTTATGGAGTTAGGGAAGAAGAATACCAATTGGAATTAGGGTAGGAGAAAAAAACGGCCATTTTTTGGTCAGTCTATAAGAGATTAGTGGATTACACCACTCTGAAACATTAGAAAATGATTGGAGTGAGCGAACACCTTTGTTGTTTAGCTGGTGTGGATATTACGTAAACCCCTATGGTTATGAGACGTTGTAATCTGACATTTTGTAGACCGAATAAAAGAAGTGCGGAAAAAAAAGAAGAGAATGTAATATGTCGTAATGAAGAGTGAGAGAAAAACTGAAATAAATAATTAGTAGTAGTGATGATAAATGGATGAGTCGTAGATAAGTTAAGATATATATATACTGGAAGTTGGAAAACAGTAGTGAGAAATGTGTTTGTAAAAGATAATCAACTAACAGGTAATACATTAGATTTAAATGTGTTTATCACCATAGCAGGAGTAGCTTGGTATATTATACAAATAAATAATGTCACGTTGAAATGTCGAGATCTTCAAAGTGAAATAGTCGAATATGACACTTGTGTTAAGAAATGAAGTAAACGAGAAGGGTGAAAGAAGAAAGTAACATGTTGACAGGAAGAAACAAACTTATTATTAAATCTATGTGTTATTGATCATAATCATAAACAGATACTGTTCTGTTTACATCGGTATGAATCAATTCTCTTTAGGAATAAGTACAATCTAAAAAGAAATGATGAACATAAGAAGGGAATGCAAAGTGCGAGTATAGTACGATCGTAAAAAGTGGTGTCCAATCGACCTTCAACCGTATTGACGCTCATAACAATGTGAATATAGATTCTTATGATTCATTCCAACGTATATTTATGAAAGATTGTGAAACCTCAGTTAATATATTTTATAAACAAATTGTTTGTTAATCTTGTTGGCAAGTGTCATAAATTGGATATATATAGACATTTACTTAATTTCTAAATTTAAATTACCATTTAACTAAGTTTCAGAGTATTCGAAATTATAATCCTTTACGTAATAAATTGGACACCCGTCTGGAGTAAATTGTAACACGTAACACCATACATTAAGTATAGGAGTCAAACATTTAGAATGTTGATTATTGTCCAACGTCTTACCTAAAACAAACAATAAATTGCTTTCCTAATAATTACATTAGTACCAATCGTATCATTACAACCATACCAAACGTATATCAACAGTATCAACTGTATAGTAACTTTTGCCCCCACATTATATAAATTTCCGATTTATGTACTTCTGTTGTTAAGTATCTAAAAGAGCTTCTTTCTGCTAAACTCACTATCATATGATTGTAATTGAGTAGTTCACTAGAAACATATTATAGGAAATGCTAAGATTATAACTATACAGTTACAAAGAGACGCTTTTAACCAGATACACGTTTAAACACTTAAAATGAT